TGCGGTTTCCACGTCTCTTGGGGTTCGGACAAGCCAGCGGGCACGGAGAGAGTAATTAAATATCAGTGCGTCATATTTTAACCGAACGACGCGGAAACCTCCTCCACCGACGGGGGCGACCCGCGGTACCGAAGGTGCGGTACCGAAAGTCCTGGGCTTACTACTGGTCAGAGCCGCTAAAAGCATCTGTTCAGTCGAAATCAGTGTTGCGGAGTTGCCACTCCGGAGTTGGAATGATTCCCGGAATCATTCCGCATTTTCGCGACCCCGGAATGGAATGAGAATGGAATGGCGGCGACGGTAAGGGGAATGGAATGGGAATGGAATTAGATGCCTTTTGCCTGGAATGGAATGGGAATGGAATGGGCCCAGTTCTTTATTTTATTTTATAATTTTTTAACTTTTTTTTTTTTGGGGGGGGGTTACATTCAGTTAAAGCTTATAAACCGAGCATGTCAGCCATTCAGTTGCTCAGAAATAAAATGAGCAGTGGGAAACTGCCAGCCCATGTGGAGCCCTAACAGACTGTACGCAAAAAATGCAATACCAATACTATAAACAAGCGTCAAAGCCAAGAGCAGAGGAGAGAGAGGGGGGGGGGGGGGGGGGAGTGGCTGTGGCGCCTTTTGCAGACGCACAGACGACAGGCTTTACTTGTATTATACGAGAGCGAAACAAGAAACCAAGCAAAAGAAGCGAAGGGAGCGGCAAAGGATGAAACCGCCATGCACGGCTCCTCACCGTCCTTCTTGTCTTGCACTTTTTTTTTTTTTTTTTTTTTGGCGACGGCATGGAGGGTGCATGCACGTGCACAAATTGAGATCTGGGAACGGGGGCGACTCATAACTCGCAGAGCTCTGATAACTCTTTTGGTTTCCGTATGTCGGTACATATTTCCAAAAGATAAAACTTTTGGAAATATGTACCGACAAAAAAGAAGCGGAATAGTAGCGTGGCACCGATGCGAAATAGTTCTGGCTATACGTGTGATTCAATTGAAATTGCCAACATGTTTGCTGAGCATTTTAAATCATGTTTTTCATCAGCATCTGTCCCTGACAATAACGCGACGTGCCATGGCACATCTGATTTTCTGTCTTTTATCCCAATTGACGAACCTGAAATCAGGGAAAGCATTCGTAATATGAAATCGAAGCTGTCTGCTGGTTCAGATGGAATTCCAAGTTTTATTGTGAAAGGGTGTGCCGAACTGCTAACTCCTGTCTTATTACACATATTTAATTTATCGATACATTCAGGAATATTTCCTTCTATCTGGAAACGCTCTGTTGTTGTTCCGATTCATAAAGCAGGGGACCCTAGTACTGTAAACAACTATCGTCCCGTTTCATTGTTGTGCAGTTTTTCCAAAGTTTTTGAAATGATAATGCATAAATGTCTGTACAGGCACTTTAAGACATAAAATGAACCCAGAACAACATGGATTTCTGAAGGGTAAGTCGGTTGAAACCAATCTATGCTCTTTTTTAGATTATGCCGTTCCATTGGTTTGCAACCGCGAGCAAGTCGACGTAATATACTTTGATATGACGAAGGCATTCGACAAGGTTAATCACAGCACACTTCTGACGAAACTAGATAGCTATGGTTTGTGCTTGACTTACTGCCAATGGTTCAAAAGTTATCTTACATGTCGTACAAATTATGTTCGTGTGTCAGGATCCATGTCCGATTATTTTTCATCGCCTTCTGGAGTACCCCAAGGAAGCAACCTGGGCCCACTATTATTTTTGATGTTTGTGAATGACATTTCGCTCTGTGCGAAAAATTCAAAAGTGCTCTTGTATGCGGATGACATCAAACTGTTTCGACGTGTACAATCTCACTCCGATTGCGTACTTCTTCAGGAGGACGCATTGCAAATTTCACAGTGGTGTGCAAAGAATTATCTTCCACTGAACGAACAAAAAACAAGAACAATGTCTCTCACTAGAAAGCGTGATTCGCTTGCATTTTCCTACACAATAGGTGGCAGCATCATCACCCGAGTCTCCGTCATTCGTGATCTTGGAATTTTTATTGATTCATCGTTAAATTTTAATCATCACGTTTTAACTATCTGCAACGCCTCTTTTAGAAACCTTGGGGCAATATCTCGTTTCACGAGAAAGTTTTCTTCGCCTGTTTGTCTTGTGCGTTTATTTTGTTGCCTAGTGCGTACGAAGCTGGAGTATGCTTCTTCTGTATGGAACTGCATTAACCTCACTGCATCATGCTGTATTGAGCGTGTTCAAAAACGCTTCATAGGCATAATTTACGACAGATATTTCGACCGTACTTGCTACTACAGCTACGAACAATTACTTAAAAAACTTGGGTTGTGTACGTTACTCGATAGAAGACGATTACGTGATCTAATGTTTTTACATAAGCGGTGTACCACTATTTAGGCCTTGTGCTGTTTTTGGACACCCAACAAAATAAAGATTATTATAACTCGTTGACTCGCGCGCCGCTGAAAGATGATCAGTTATTGTTTTCTTTCTCATAGTTCAAGGAGCGTTGTTTAGCAGCTGGTCAACCCTGCTGCCTTCCACGTTCGTTTGCGCGCACCCCTTTGAAGTGCGAAATGTGGGTTTGCTTCGGCATTAAAACAAAGCGAGATCCACTCCTCCCTTCTCCTCTGGCACTTTGCTCCGACGTTTTTTTTTTTCTATACTGCATTTTTGCATGTAAGTCCGCCTTTTATTTGGTTTTTGTTCCGCTTGTTTTTTGTGTTAAATGTTTTACATTCAAGTGGGTTAGGGTTCCAAACAAGCTAGATGATGCCCACTCATTTCCTTTGACTTGTCTCTGGATACCTTGTTTCACCTTGCGATGGACCGCTTCGGACGCTTTGAGTCACCCCAAGCAATCCAGCACTGAGAGCTCAGTAAAATAAATGTTTTTTTGAGCCATTTAACTTTTTTTTTTTTTAATTGAATCGCCTATGCGTTTGATAATGTCAGCTTTATGCTGCTTATGCCGAAAAATGCAATGTAGCTGTCAAGTGCCAATTTTTACGTTTAGGAATTAGAGGAATGGAATGGAACGATTCAGCCATTCCAGGAGTGGGAATGGGCCCAGTGTCCCCATTTCTAGGAGTTGAAAGGAATTGAATTATAGAAAACTCTAATTCCCGGAATGGAATTGGAATGGAATGAGGGTGCTCATTCCGCAACCACTGGTTGAAATACAAAATATGAGTGGCACGAACCGTTTCTATTATGTATAAAAGTAGTTTTTGTTCACTATTTTAGATCAGAAAAGAAACAAATGCAGTTTATATACCACAGAAACAAGAAATGACCCGTCGACATACCCGCCACCAAGCGGTGGAAAAGGTGGCGCATGCTAAAAAGGAGTAGTGGGATCAGGCGCCGACACGGAAAGGTACCGGATGTACGCGGCGGCGCTGCGGTCGTAGAAACTGGAGGATCCGACCGGCTCCGAGCGTTCCGAATGCCTTCGGCGAGCAGCTTTGTCTGGCGGTTTGGCCATTTCGTGGTATGGCAGCGCGAAGTGGCTCCCATTCTAAACTGATCTTTACCCCGTGTTTGCTGTCGTTTGTGGCCAATGAAGTGTCATGCCGAATTAGTGTTTAATCGCGCAGCAAATGCAATCTGACCCGCCCTAGCCGCCCGCTGTATACAGCCTATCCAGAACATGTTTAGTGGCGCCCCCTCGCGCCGTCGACACGGAGTGCGGCAGCCGTGAGCGCTCGCATAGCTCACTACCCCTCCTCTAGTTTACGGCCACTCAAGCAACCAAGGGCATCATGAAGGAGGTTATTTTTTGCTTGTTTTTGTAATTTTAATTTGCTTATAACTTTTAAAATAAAGCGAAATTCGAGAAAAGAAAGGTTTCATTAAGTTACTACGTTCAGTGCGCTCAGGTTCGGTGCATATTAAAAATTAGTAAAAAAGTCAATGCAGGGCCCCTTTAAAGACATGGACTTTGTTAGTGGGTCGCACAGAAATGCCGAGATCATTTTACCAGTGTTGAATGTTGAGTCTGTAACAATCTCTAGAGCGGCAATACAAAGGTAATAATTGGCGCAGCGCACACAAAATCACACTTCCTGGTGTGGACTACATTTGACCCATCTAGGGAATCAGGATCCTTGTCTTTGTAAACACGAAAGGCCTCTCGGATTGAGCGTACCAGAAAGTGCTTTGGCACGAACGTCTTCTCCCCGTCGAGCGAGACAGAGATCACATCCTTCTAGTTGGGACATTGGCGCGAACATCGTAGCTCGTCTTTCGTGAAGTACTCTAGGGCAACAGACACATTCTCAGGGCTCACCTTGCACCTCGTGTAAGGATCCGGCTCATACCATATGCCATGCTTTTCCTTACCTAGAGCATAAACACTGTCGCCATGTTAACGCTTCCTAGGTTAACATACCACGCTGGTAGTGATATGTTAACCTAGGAAGGGTTAACATGCAAATACCGCACGTGCAGCAGGAGCAAGGCTACACAGGTAGCCCCTTGCACCTGCTCCTGCGTCATTGACAACCACTAAATCAGTAATCTTTAGAAAGACTGAGCGTGTGAGAAGCACAGTAGTGTGCTAACGTTCACTCATGCAGCCGGTTAAGGCTACCTGTGTAGCCTTGCTCCGGCTGCATGAGTGATAACGTTAGCACACTACTGTGCTTCTCACACGCTCAGTCTTTCTAAAGATTACTGATTTAGTGGTTGTCAATGACGCTCGGCAAGTTTCCAATTGGAGCCATTGTCTGTTTTCACTAATTAAAAAGCTAATTAACAAATTTCACTTAATTAGTCGACTGATTGTTACAATTGGCCCCTATACTATGTCCCCCTGGTCGTATAACTCACCAGCACAAACCACATTACTGTAGCTTTCACGGCTTGTTTTAAGCAAATATGCTAAGCTTAAAAAAAGACGCCCTACGCACAGAGGGGTCCATATTAACGAGGCACAACTCTAGATATAATAGAGGTACAGAGAGGAGGGGGATGAATCCTAACCTGTGCCCTGGACTTGCTAAGGTCACTCTTGAGGGTTTCAATGTCCACATCAGCATCGCTGGTCTGCTGCGACACATCCTACAAGTGCAAGAAATCAATAATAGGGCTTCGTCAAGTGCTACCCTCGAGTTTGCAAAAAGTTTTATGAGTCAAAACTAAGAGCATCAGAGCTGGCTAGCTACATCGGTGTGCAGGTACACTTGAAAGCAGAACTGCAGTAAGGCTAGTACAGTCCTCCTCAAACTTGACGCCACCAAGAGATGGTCTGTTTTTGGAATTCTTTTGTGCTATTCCTGGATGTTCTGGCCGGACCAAGCGGTGAAGTTTTGAATCCCCGATCACAAGCCAGCCTGGGGAGGACATTTTATCTGTTGTGATTCGTTTAGCTGAAACAAACAAATATCTGGGCAATCGAGCGGTGGCGTTAAGTTTGAAGAGGAGTGTACATCCCTTGCAATACACCCTTCTCAAAATTCAACCTGGCAACTTTGATCACAACTATTATCTCAGTACACAGCATCTGTGCCAAATTAACGGCGGGTTTCTCGAGCTAGAGGAAAAAGTTTAAGATGATATCAAGTGGAGGATACATGAGGTCCGTACATTTGACACATCAATACAACATGACGCACAAATGAGATATGACGACTGCTTAAGCGTTCATTTTGGAGTGTGGTTCCATTACTCTCCTGGCACATGTTTGGCCCTTAATTGTTTTGATGGCAAAAATTTAATCAAGGGGCTCATAGGTCGCCACTTTGCAGTGGTCAGTTCTTATGTTCATACTGTCGAAACTGAAACAAAATCTAGAGAGAATTGTTGGTGAGCAAAGAACCAACTCTCATCTGCCATTGACGTGCAAAAGCGGGGGTGCCCAATAAAATACAGTTCCACGACTGTTATCAGTTTGTCGAAAGTGAAACTGCCTTTTGAGCCACCAGATGACGCATAATTTCAAGAAGAGTATGCTGAACCGTAAAGTCATCAGCGGAGCCGAGCCGCTCACATACCTTCGAGCTCTTCTCCCCGTGCCGCGTTGTCTCCAGGGATGACTCGACAGGCACCAGTCTCCCCGACAAGTTGACGGCATACACGAGTTCGTCGACGCTTGAGCAGCGCTTCCCGCTGCCGTCCTGAGCTCTCCATGAGGCGCACAGAGTGTCCACTTCGTCACGGAGCACCGCGATGCATTCCAGCGCCGGATTGAGGTCCGACAACACCGCCTCTTGGAAGCTCGCAATGTCGGAGTGATTGCGTGAGCTCTCGTCCTGGAGCCAGCGCACCACCCCCCGCAGCTTTTCCATGCTCTCCTGGAGCGAAACCTCGTGGCTCTTGCGGAGATCGAAAGATGCATTGCCAGAGTCCGCAGTCCATTGCTTCGCCTTCTCCAGAATAAGCTCGACATGGTCCATGACGTCCTTGGCACTCCAATCGCGACCAGACTCTGGAAGGGTTTTTTCTATGGCGAAGAGATTGCAAACTTGTTTCAGCTTTTCACCGAGGGTTGAGAGTACGAGCATGTCCCTCGGCTCCGATTGGGTCTTGGAAGACGGTTCACAATCAGCTGGGGTGCCGTTTTCTTTGTCGTTTACTTCGTGCCGTGTTGGCAGTAATGCAACACGAAGGCCCCTGTCACGGGCGTCTTTAAGGGCATCCTTTAGGGCCTTCGCAATGCCCGACTGCTCGCCGTTAACGGTGCTCAGCTCCAAAAATAAGCCCGCTTGTCGGCCCAGGTCACGGATAATAGAGCACAGCTCGTCGAGTTCAGTCGCCAGATTGTCAGAAAGCCCATCTTCAGCATTCGTCGGACTTTTGAGCGGGCTCAGAAATTTCTCCGCAGTCGTTTCCTGCGTGGCATTCTCTCCGGCACCTGCAGTTCCCTGTAGTGAAAGGTCTATCAAGTTGCTCCCAGATGCTTCGTGGGTGCCAATCCGTTCAGAAACCTGCACTGCTGCTTTCTCCGTGACACAGGTCAATTTCGTCTGCAGTTGGTCGACAAGGTCATCCTTCTGCTTCAGCGAGCGGAGAAGGTCCTGGAACGACCTTTCTGTCTCCAATGCGGCCGCGTTCCTCTCAGACAGCAGTTCCTGTCAATGCAAGAAACTTGGGCTGGGACACATCATTGCCAGAAAAGCCTTACAACATGATTTGTTAGCATCAATATTCTATACAAGCAATTAAGAACAACTACTATAAAAAAAAACAAAAAAACTAAGATGTTCCTCCTTCGTTTAACATACATCCTACGTCTTTGTGCTGGAAGGACCACTCAGAGTTGGTCATTCCTGAAGCTAAACCATTTCCCTGGGAAGATTTCTCAAAGCTGCTGCACACAATCACAACTCCTAACGTCTTGCATCACACTGCTTCCAGTGACGGGAAGTTTTAAGACTGATAGAAGACAGCTTTGATTAGTACTTAAATTAATACCTTGAAAAGTGGAAGACCACGAATCCAGAGGAATCTTTAAAATTGTTACAAACTGCTTTTGAAGATGCACCTTTGTACTAGATGAGCTATGAAAAGAGAGTTTACTGTTTTTTTTATACTATTAGTAACTTCAGAGAAATATGTATAGAATATTAAGTAACTACCATGAAGTTCAGAGACAACGCCCGCCTCCGAGAGACCGCCTATCCCAATTTTTGGGCTGCATATTCGTAACAAACAATCCGAAAAACATATACCCCGCAATTCCCGCTGAATATTGATCATGCGATGTCCGAAGAGAATCGCATGAACCGCACGATTTGCAGTATCAGTATGTGTGACATGCGTGTTGGTTGTAGGTTCTCTTATGTTTATCGCGCTGCGACACGTGAATCTGCAGTACCCGCAATCTGCAGTCCTCCTCAGTATCACGAAGGAAGACCACATGTCAAATATTACGACGTAGTTTCGTCTAAACGTTTCTTAAACAGTCTAACAAATTTTGTAACTCAGCAAGTTGCCGTAATCATCTGACTCGAGCGGGCAAATTGAGGCGCAACCAAGAGTGCAGTCAAAGCTACAGCGTGGGCGTAGCCAACATTGAGCTAAGCATCATCACCATTGCCCTCTTTTGCTTGTTTTTACTTTTTTTGGCAAGCATAACGGGTGACGTCAGCAATGCTTTCTCTCGGTGCTACGCGGTGTCCACGTGATCTGTATAACGCACGTGCACAGTGCGCTTTTTGGGAGCCGTCCGGCCGCTCCGCCGTCGTCCCGCCGTTACCGCCATCTCCCGCGTCACAACCACCGTCATTGTCTCACCGTTTGCAATTATCTTTTCTCGAAGTTTGTCAACACTACAGACACTATGTGGGCAGACTTATGCCACAGGTGTGCAGACATCATCGAACGTTGTAGACACTGGAACGTGGCGAAGAGCGTGGTGCAGACGACTCTTGCACCTGGTACATGACCGCCTTATTCCCACCTGTTGTCGCCTAGAGGACCCCATGACGTCTCGTACCACGTGATAGCCATGTTCTTGGCGGCCCAAGGTCAATGTTGTCGGACGGAACCGAAGTTTCGGTTTCGGTAGATTTAAAAATATATATCCCATTTTTTGCGATTTAAATGACATAGTGTCTTTTATTAGGGCTTTTTAATGTGAAATCACTCATTATACTGTAATCTTCGTAATTGAGCGGAGTTGCCCTTTAAGGACAGTATTTGTTTTGATATCTAATTTTAAATGCTTATAAACAAAAGGAAGTGCACCTAAGCAATTTAATTTTCCACTTAGAAAGATAATGTAAAACCAGATATGATTTACACTAGGGACCCAACGACAGTTTAAACAGCTTGTCTAACAAGGATATTGGTCTATTCTCCTGTGGCCTGCGCGTGCCCTAAGCTAAAACAAATTTGCCCCTTTCCCGCACTATTGTGGCAGAGGCAGTGGTAATAAAATATATTGTGCACTGCTTGACATTGATGTTGCACAAATTAATTTGGCACATATTTTGTTCCTTGATAGGACAAATATTTTCGTGCATAGAGTCTCCAAAAGAAAGTGCTGCCAAAGCTAGTGCTCTAGCAGGAGAGAAACAAAGTTTGCGCCTCTTGTGGTCACACACCCCAGCTCTGACCCTGCTGCTTTGCATCTCTCCGTTTCCTCCGAAGCATGTGTTTGTACTCTTCTACCTCCCCCACCATAGGTGCAATTGTGCTCACTCGAAATGCCATAGATACCATATTTGCTCGCATAATTAATGCACCCCTCCGAAATGGTCATCAATATTTGGATCTTTTCCCCCATGTGTAATGAACGCACCCCATTTTTTGCCTCTGCTAGTCTTGAACTGCGTTTGACGAACCGACCCAGCGAGCTACCAGGTCAAGTAAGCCACAAGGTGGCCAGGCCGGGTCAGGTCAAGTCAAATGAAGCCAAGTTAAGCATGGCAGCACCAGAGGTCGGCATTTTAGGTCGCCCTCACTCACCCTCACCCTCACAGCCACACTCATCTAAGCCCCTCACTCACCCTCACCCTCACAGCTACACTCACCTTCAGCCCCTCACTCACCCTCACCCTCACAGTCACACTCACCATCAGCCCTTCACTCACCCTCACTGAGCCTCACGGCCCTCAAGCCCCTCACGGCCCTCACCGCCCTCACGCCACTCACCGCCCTCACGCACTCATAGCCCTCACGCCACTCACGGCCCTCACCGCCCTCACGCCACTCACCACCCTCACGCCACTCACGCCGCTCACCGCCCTCACGCCACTCACCGCCCTTGCGGCCCTCACACCCCTCACGCACTGATGGCCCTCGCGCCACTCAGGCCAGCTTCAGATGGGGCAATATCGCCCAGAAACTTTACGTCGCAACACCAGCAACACGGGCCGCCCGCGATCACACGCAGCAACCAATTGCTGCAATTTGCCATTGTCATCATAAAATTTTATTTTTTCTGCACTATTTAGACACAATTACGTGTTATAAACGTGTTTTGATGCATTTAAATCTCGTTAAGAATACTAATGCACCTTTCTGAAACAGTTTATTTCCAAAAAAACGGTCGATTTCAAACCAGAACCAAGTCTTTCGGTGTCATCATCGCCGGCACGAGGTTTCATGTGAAAATTTTGCGTCCCCGATTGGATGCAGCCGCTTCAAACATATTCAAATTGCTCCGAGTTGCTTGCTTATTTCGAGCCGGACCCGATCTCTGCATTTCGTGTCGATCTAGGGAAAGCTAGAGAACAACCCGCTATTAACACCAAAATTGCTGAGAAAGATGCTCGATCTGAAGGGGGCCTCACGCACTCACCGCCCTCACGGCCCTCACACACCTCATGCACTCACCGCCCTCACGGCCCTCACGCCTCTCATGCCACTCACTGCCCTCACGCACTCACCGCCCTCACACCACTCACGCACTCATGACCCTCACGCCACTCACGGCCCTCACGGCCCTCACTCACCCTCACACTCATGAATTTTCCTGGTTCAGAAACTCACTCACCCTCACCTCACCTGTGAAGATGAGGGTGAGTGAGGGTGAGTGAGGGCCCTCATGAGTGAGGTTTGCCGAGGTATGGGCAGCACACGCACGCGTTATGGTAGCGATCGGAAAGTTGTGGAAGTGATCAACAACACAACCGAGCAGCACACACAGCCAACAAAGCTGGTTAAAGGACCTGTGCAACATTTTTAGTGCTTTACTTAAATAATCTGGAGTTGGTGTCTTGACCTTTCTGAAGTAAAGAACAAACAACCGCTCTTGTCTGCATGTCCTAGCTTTTATTTTAAAAATGGACAAAGATTGAGGTTTTCGGCACCTCTCAACTCCTTCACCATCTTCAGAGTCATGCGCGCTGTGACGTCAATGGGGGTCGCACGGGGTTCCGGTGAAGCTCTCACTCTAGAGCAATCAGAGAGCAGCGAGAACTCATCCGCTCGCGACCGCGTGACCACGTGCTGGCGGGCGCAGCGCGAACAATATGGTGAAAGAAGGAAAGCCTCATTCAAGTTCCACCATACCCGTCCGGCTAAGCCCCCCTCCCCCTCCGGCTTCTAGAGGCTGTTAGTGGTAGCAGAGAGAGCTGACACTTTTGTGGACCAAGGATAAATGGTGCAACTAAAACTGTGCATAATAAAAGTTTTGTTGATGATAGCAGGTTTTTGACGCATTTATATTTACGTTCGAACGACAAGATTTATAGAAATGCATGTGGCAATCAATTCCTTTTATACTTGCACCAATGGTCCGAGAAAAATCACTTGAAGGTTAATACTAACAAAACTAAAGCTATAAAATTTCGAACGAAGAATAAAGTAATATCTGAAGATATCCAACTTCTACTAGGACAAAGCAGGATCAATATCGTACCAACGATGAAATGCTTAGGCGTTGTGTTTTCCGAGACGCTTAACTGGGATGCACAGATTCAACATACACGCATGAAAATTAACAAAATAATTGGTGTACTGTGTCACCATAGATACTCGCTTCCGACAAGTGTTAAAATCGTCATTTATAATGCCTTTTTACTACCTATTATTACTGTCATATCACCTGGGGAACAACCACAAAACAAAACAAACTCAAATTGCTTCTTGCGCAAAAAAGGGCAGTAAGGCTGATTGCGAATGTCTCATGGTGCATGCATACCGAACAATATTTTTTCAAGTTCAGTATTATTAAGTCAACCTCTCTTTATGCTTTCAAATTGTTGTGTATGTATAAGAGTGGTGTCGCGAGTAACAATGATGTCCTGTTAAGTATGTTTAAACTCAATCGCCACGCACCCACATATAACATACGTCACAACATTGCTTGGTCATTGCCATTTTGCCACACATCTTATCGCGCCCAATCATTATGTTATAACTTACCGCTTTATCTCAACATTCTTTTGCATAATATTTCTATAGAAACAACCCCCAAGAAAAAATTAATTGATGTCCTTCATCTGTTAGATCTACGTTTTGTGTAAGAATTGTGTAACTGTTCCTTTCACTGAAATATGCATAGTGCCCCATTACGTTGAATGTGTCAGTGTACTTTTATTGGAAATGTTCTTCTGTTCCTGCCCACTGCTGTCGTGTGCAGAAGCACAGGGGGCCCTCAAGCTGCACCACGCAGCTTTTTCCCTTGCGTCCCACCTCACAATGTAATGTTGAGGGATAAATAAATTCAAATTCAAATTTAAATTCAAGTCACCTCTTATTACGCAGGTATTCGCACAACTTCCCGTCTTTCTACAAGACCCCCCTTGACGTCACGCCGCGTGGTTCTCATGGTCACCGCTTGCGGCTGCAGGTCGGGGAATGTTCCAATTTTCGCCTTGCGATTACGCAACGGAATCGCAACATTTGGAAGAAAGGAGGTATGTTTTCTGTCCTTTGTGACAAGATGAACAATGTCAAAAGTAGAAGATGCCAATTCTTTCAAGTTTATAAAATCGTTGCACAGCTCCTGTCAGGAATTACCCAGCCCCCGGAGAAGCTTCGTCCGCTGTATGCATTGACGTTCACAAGCACGTTGTCGTCTGCGGTCTACTTTTGGACAGTGAAATTGAGAAAGTGGTTAGGCCTAGGAACACTCGCGTAGCTCTCCATACCGAGCGAGCTTCGTAGGGAACTTTTTGTTTGGCAAAAAAAATCTGAATATGTTTTAAAAAGAAAGGCATGCAATTTATAGAGCATGGTTACTGTGGTGCACCCACGACCAGTCATGGGTGCACCTTTGTCAGTGGAGACGTGCCACAGTTAATGCCCCCATCAGATGGGTACCTAAAATAACATTTCATGCACAAAATTTTTACCCCGTGTAATTAAATGCACCCCCAAATATGCGTCACTTTTTCGGGGAAAAAAAACTGTGTTCAGTATGCAAGTGAGTACAGTAACAAGGCCACAGTAATGGGATTTTTAAAACGGAAACCAGCATGAGACGCAGATTGGACATGAGTTGCAACTGAACACTGACGCAGCACTAGCATCCATCAATGTTCGTGTGACATTCTTCCATTAGAGCACACGGTCTGCATTTAAACACTTTGAGGGTATTGAAATGAAAATTGAAATATATCTCTCACGCTTAAACATGTTCTCCAAAATCTGCTGATGACAATCAGATTTACGTATTTTGAACGAATGGTTATATTTTTCAATTCATAAGGCAGATTACAGTGAGTGCTCAAAAAGCAGCCTATGGAGAGTGTGACCCGTCTAGGAAGATCCGGCGCCTCCGGCGCGTTTGCGCATCACGTTTCCTTTCACAAGTAAGGCTACAAGAAGGCTGACGTGCCAGAAAGCCAGAAAAATGGGATAGACGATCTCTCGGGAGGGGGCGTCCTCACAGGATTTTATGGTAGTTGACATGTAGAGAATGAAATAGACAAAAGAATTTCGTTTCATCACCCCTTAAATGGGTAATTCTGTCAAGGGTCCCTTCTCTGTTGTTCCAACAGAGAACAACGAATCTCAGTTGAACCCAACTGGGTGCTTTGTCAATAGTGTACAAGCTCAATGCAAAGACCATCTACAAGGGCAATGTCATGTGATAGGAGTACCTGAATGAAGTTTGACTTAGCCTGGACAGCAGCTTGCAATGATGTGCATTCCCTCTCCAGAGCTGTCAGGTGGCTCTTCAGGGTTAGTGCTTCCTGCATGCAGAACACAGCAATTTCTAGGCTAACAATCTGTCTCTAAACACATTTTGGTAAGTTGATGCCAAAAAATATATTATAAAGTAAGACAATTAGGAAAGAAGGGCACTAACAAACCTTGCAGACACAATCAGTTGAATTAGCTCCTAAATAAATATGTAGAGTTCAGAATGCATGGAGTCCCTTTTCTACACGTGAAGGCAAGCAAAAGATCCAAGGAGTTAGTAGTACGGGCATACAACAGATTTTCCATTCTATAAAAAGCAAATTGAAAGTATTTCCGGAAATCGGTAATAAGGATTGCAAGCACTTAGGAATGGTCTAGTAGTTTGAATGGTGTTGTATTATTTAAACTCTGCTCCTCTCTCATACAGGTGTCTGCAGTCGTACATATAAATATGAATAATTATTGCTTCCGTTGTTAGTCCCTCTACATGAAGCTCTGCCCTACAACACACTTCTACCACCCTTGTGCAACAGTCAAGAACAAGTCTGCATTCATCAAGTCGACAAAAGCCTTAGGATTCATGCAACATATTAATCGGGAAGTTCTCATTTTCTCCCAAGATTTTCGCACCTGAGCACTATTCTCGAGTTCTTGCACTCTAAACTGCACAGACTCTAAGAGCTTGTCCTTCTCGGTGCAGATCCTCATGTGCATCTGCGACGACCTCTCAATTTCGCTTTCAAGGTCACGACACCTCTCTTGGCAGGATTCGAGGTTCGAGCTAAGCAGCAGCATTTCACCTCTGAGACCCTGAAAAAAAAAAAAAAAAGAGAGAAGAATTATGAGCAGAATGTTTCTACAATTTCTTTAAGAATGAGAGAAGAAAAACCCCAAAGAGTAGTATATTAAATGTACCTTGAAGCATAATAGTAATATTAATAATAATAATAATAATAATAACAATAATAAATATGTTGTTTGAAAAACCAAAGGTCATAAAAAAAATGAGATTGAGATTCTAGTAGGACATGCTGCTGTCTCCCCCCCCTAACAATCTAAGATGTGTTGCTGTCATCATCCCTAACAATAATATTCCAGATTTTAATTGTCATTGTTAGTTGCACATCTGAAATTATGAAATAAATCATGCAGTAACTGCATGCTTAAAAAAAAAAAAAGGCCTACTGAACAATTTTTTTTGTATGATTGTTCATAAAAATGATGCTTATGAGATAAAGACCCCATATTAAACAAAAATATAAAAATACTGTAGCAACATTTATCTGCAACTGTCAAAACAGATGATATATATTTTATTCTCTCTGAGTGCACCTAACATTTTAGGCGTGAGACAGTCATAAAATGAGGTACATTGTTCTATATACAGTAATTTTGTCGATAAAAAAGGAAATTCTTGCTGCCTTTGGTTGTGTTTATGTTATTGTATAAACCTGGATTATACACTGAGCTCTCATTGTCACCATTACCAACGAGGCACTTTAATCTGGAAGTGCAAACAATCTGCAGGCCCAAACTGGGGCTCAGTTATAATTTTACAAACTACAACTCAATTGTCAAAGTAGCTTTCTACCATGGACATGTATGCACATGCTGAAAATTTTAAAAACAAGGTCAGTACTACCTCAATTGTGGTTTCCTTTGCCTCAAGCTCTGCTTCAAGGTGCCAAACCTGCTTCTTTAGCGAGCTCTCGGAATGAGAAAATTCAGCCGATATGTCCTGCTGGGAAGTGTGATGCTTGCTGACAACCTGTTTGAATGAAATACTGCCCTTCAAAAATGCACAGAGATAATTAGGAAGGAAAAAAACAACACGCTAAGATGTATTCAAGGCTTCATATCACAATGCCGTTAAGTCATCCTACTGGCATTCAGTTGTTAGCACAAACCAAGCAGAAAATGTAGTCTCTTTTCTCATAAATGCATGATTACTATGCTTTCATGTTTTTACACATTTTCTGCTTTTGTTGGTCATAAGAAGATCATGTTTTACAGGTTGTTGTTTTTATTAATGAGGATAGGCCTCAGACGGTTTAGAACTTGTCAAATATTCAGTTCCAGGTCAGCATTGCAAGTTACTGAATAACAGATGACACCCTGAGAAGTTAATTCTCAATTGAAAGTTTCGTGGTCTTGTTTGCGGCTCTCAGGCCGGGTCAGCCTGGCCACCGCTGCTCTATATTGTTCATTATGTTTATATATTTCTAAATGTAATCTAAAGAACCCAAATTCAAGAATATTTTTAATGAGTTTTTTTATGATTAGTTTGGAACAAGGCACCCTATTTTTAACCCCCACCCCTTTCCCCAATTTTTGAAAAATATAAGAACCAAAAAATGAAAGCCGTTTACAATTCCCTGTAACGCCGGTTGGAGCGCAGCTTTTGAGGAGAAGGATGGAAGCGTACTGAGGAACAGGTGACTCCTGAAGGTCACGTGACCTCATGGGAGGTCGGGTGACGTCAAGGGGGTCACGTGACCTCGGGGGAGGGAGGTCACGTGACATCAGAGGGTCACGTGACCTCAGGAGAATCACGTGACTTCTTTGGTCACGTGACTCCAGGGAGGTCACGTGACCTTAGGGGGTCACGTGACCTTGGGTGGGGGGGGGTCACGTGATTTCGGGGGAGGGGCTTGCGCGGTGCATGATGGAACATTTCCCATAACGCACCGCGCAGTTACGTTGACGGCGACGCCGACGCCGCTCAAACCGGAAACGGGCGCCTAAGAGCTGCGCTCTAAAACCAAGGACTCTTCCCATCAAGATTAATTGGGGGGCTAGTTGGTTGAACATCTAGACTGTGGTTTAAAAAGCGCAAAGGACTAAGAAGAGAAGGAGGCGCTCTGTCTTGTCCCCTCCTTCTCTTCTTAGTCCCTTGCGCTTTTTAAGCCACTGCGTAGACTCCTCCCATGAGGGGGAGGGCACTGTAGGAGAAAGGGGGAGATATTGGGAGAGGGAGGAAGGGGAAAATGTAGGGAATTGAATGTAAGTGGATGGGAAGCAAGGGGAAGGGAGAGATTGGGAAGAAACCCAAGGAGGGTGAATGGATGGGGAGTGGTATTGATAAGTCACGTGACAAATATTTCCCAACTAAATTTAGAGGAAGATGCACAAATAGATAAACGGATGAGGGACAAAATTTTGGGGTTGTGGGAGGAAGGGGGGGGAGGATTTCGTTAAAAAGAATTTTAGGCTTTAAAAATGGAGAAGAATGGCAACGAGGGTGGAGGGGGAAAGCATAGGACTCGAAAATTGCTCACGTTGCCGAGGTCTCGCCTGAACTTGTCCTTGGCAAGGAGTGCGCCCTGGATGTCCTTGGAGGCCAGCGCATCCTCAATGCGCTGCAGGAAGGCCTCGGTCATGGGTTCGACGGACGACAGGAGCGCCTGCTGCGAGCGCAGGGCCTCAATGACGTCTTCCTGCCTGGTGACAACCGTTGAGAGGTTCTTCAGCGCCAGGATCTTCTTGTCCAGCTGGTGTCTCATGGACGGCGCCTCCACATTCTCCAGCTCCTGCAGGCGTATCTTCAAAGCCTGCGGCAGGTGTCACAACAGGAGCAGTTTGATACGGGGTGCTGCAGTCACTGACGAGGTGAGAACGGTGGGGCATCTCTTTCCAACGCCCGGCCTCCAGCATGTACAAGTGCGAGGCTCAAGGGACGCAGAAGCATTATTGAAGGTAGAAAGCTCACGCTGGAGGCGCGGCGACTGAAACCCTTCCCTGTCTTTTTCATTCTGTCGATGATTGTGGTCTTCGTAATGCATTCCAACACCGCAGGATTTTACGACTCGCATACTGACTCAGAGTAAAAGAGAGACGTCAAACTCTGCATGAGCACGTCGACGAAAAAGAGGAAGACACCGCAGAAACCTCGACACGAAAACGGTGCACCACGAGGATGGTGGAAATGATGTGAAAAAGACCTACCTTAGTGCACAAAAGAAATTTATGTGTTAAGTTTACTGTAATGAAGAGATTGAGAATGTGATGAACATTAACGAAAGTGCATCTAGCTAAAACAAAGCTGACTGAGACGTGAGGCACAAAATGTTCCCAAGCAAAGCTCCTCCCAATTGTGAAAGAGTTTGATCTTCAAAACAAATTTTGTGTGCTGTGCTGTTTATCTCTATAATTTTATATAGTTAATGTGTTGAACAAAACAATGATGATGCACTAACTCTCTAGGAACAAACTAAAAGGAAATCGCTTTTGTAAATACTACTCACTTTGACTTCACTTTCAAGGTGTTTGTTCTGCCTTTGAACTTGGGAGACATTGTTTGCCATTTTCACATTGTCGTCATGAACGGCCTCAGCAAAACTTGTTTTCTGCAACACATGTTTACAATTCTGGTCAGAACAAAAAACAAACAAAGGGAAAAAAATAACTTAAGGTAACATATGGAAGGGGTCTTCTAAGGAAGACATAAGAAACAGTCTCACTGATTGAAATTTGTGAAGTTCTTTTTCCAGATCAGCCTTCTCCTGTTTCAGCTGCTCGATGGCATCATGTTGCTGTTCAACAGTCAGCCTGAACAAAACGAAATTGTAGTGGAGCATCTCTCAGCCCTACATCATCCATCAGTCACACTACCAAAAAGTTCAAATAACTATAAGAGAGAAAAATATATGTGAAAACGAGCTCACCAAGTCTTCTGAAGAAGGGCATTTCTTTCTCCAATCTCCTTGGTAAGTCTATCAACGTCACCGAGCATTTCACTTTTCTATAAAAACAAAACAAAACAAACAAAAATTGTGGGACTATACTTTTTTTTTTTTTTTTTTGCACTTTGACCATAATTAGTGCTCAGAATAAACACTTCACAGACGCAGTCACTTCACACCACCATGTTCACCAGCTCACAACATGCAACACATACCTCAGCTGCAAGCCTACAGTAGCCTATTAAATCAGCAATTTGCTCCCCACATGCCACATGAAAGCTCCATAATCTCAATTACATGTCTTTTCTGTCACAATCTATGTAATTCTATGGGTACTTACAAAAGCCTCAAATTCAGCAGTGCCAGCACTGGCTTCAGGATCCTTCTGCTGCTGCATGTAGAAATGCCTCAGGCGAAGATGAAGGTTCTCTCTTTCAAGCTTGATTAAATGCTGCGAAGGCACATGGTATAGTCAATGCTCAACTTTCACACACAAAAAAAAAAAAAGAAATAAACAGGCAGCAAAGAAAGTAGCAGGCTAATGTCATGGTACAAGAGCACTGGAGTAGCAGGAACACTAATCACCTCCTCGTAATCTCTCAAGCTCTTCGTCTGCAAGGGCATCATGCGTCCTGCAACAGAAGAGGCCAATCTGTCAGAAATGTGGTTTCACAGTGTGCCTCGCTCGAAGAAATTATTTGTAATGCATCAGCATCCAGAATTACAGCCAGTTTATAACTGGGGCAGGAGTGCATGGTTACGGTACATTGTTAACTGAATGCTGGAGACGCTTGTTGCAGGAAAGTAGTACTCACTGGCTTGTGCTGCCATCAATGGAGCACCGACCGAGACCTCTGGATCTCCTCTGAGAGATGAGGACAAGTGTTGAACGATTACTTCACTAATTTCACGTGGGAAAGTTGAAAGGTTCTAACAGAGCCACCTGCAATTTCCTCGCATGCTTGCCACTAAGATAAAGCTAGCAATCAACTGTTTTGATCTCAATATGGAATAGAAAACACGCTAATTATACCTTCATTCTGCAAGACACAGTGACCCATCCCAGGAGCAGCTAGTGTTGGGTTAGAGTTTCCAAGACTCGCGATTGAAATTTCTGTTTACAGTAAAGAAACCGCTCGAGCGAATTAAAAAGAAAAATGCACTTCGGCCCAGCCTTGAATAGATCGGCGGAGAGAGCCACCGAAATTGAAACTCATCGCTGCAACTCGGGGAAAACCCAACATTAGAACATCCGACATAAACGCTCCTGCAAATTTCCTCCGTGGGCACCGCCTAGCCCAATTCCTCGTCGAAATCTGTCTCGTGTAACACGAACCAGCGACGCCAGCTTTAAATTACAAATCGCGAAGATAACTGCTACAACGTCGCATCAGGGCTAGCGCCTACGATTGACACCTTGGCGAGATTACAGTCCAAACGCGATGTCGCCGCACTCTTGCCTCAATCAGCAAACTTCGAGACCTGCGTCTAGAGCCTGGAGTATCGCCTGGAGGCCAACTTGCAGAGGCAGTTGCGGACGAAGACGAGTGCCCAACGCCGGACAGACATCACCATGTCGGAGGATTTCATCGCAAGACACCGGAAAATTGCGGATGGCGTTCTCAGGAGAGGATGCGGAGCAGTCGGAGAAGTCCGCGACTTATCGCCAGTCCCGGTCCTCCACCGCGCATGCGCGCCGTATGCCGGCACGTTCAAAAACAAAGAGAATCCACCGGTTACCAAACCGGTACGCGTACTTGGTGGCGTTTAAATGCGGGGGGTGTGAGGATTACCGGTTGAAGTTCGGTAGCATCATCGGGCACTATACTACACCGGAGCGATAATTTAATTTTGACAAGAGACAATCGACGTAGAAAAGTATTTTACCACGTCTTTTTTTTTTTTTTTTTCCCCACATTTGAAATGGTTGTTTTTGGGTTAGGCCAGGGTTAGACTAGAGTTTCGGGCGTGCTCAGAATTTATCGCAGCTTTGGAGGGTCTCCTAACTCGCGCACTGCGGAAGGTGAATCCTAAATCGTTCAACGATGATAACTAAACGACGTGCAGTTAGGTGAAACCCGCGCAAACCTCAGGCACTTCTGAAAACTTTTCTTCTACAATACTGGGCTCTATTTTAAACTTGGAATTTACAAAAATATCTTGCCACGCAGCAAATACGACGACGCAACAGCCGACAACTGTCAATCTTTGAGCTCGTGGCACCGTCCAAGCAAAACGAAGACCGCCTGCATGCGACCCGACGAAAGACAAAACGACCGTATATATACATATATTAGGTTGCTTTTGCACCCGAGAGTAACTTATTTTTGGACAGAACGCGAAGAGAGTCAAAACCGTCAAAACGCTCTACCCCGTACGTCAGAAACCAAAACACTGTAACGAAGAAAGCTCAGCGAACTTACACGCTGCTACTGGTATCCGTGATGAAACTCTCGTCCATGGCTCTCCTGTCCATCACTGTACCAGCAGAAATATGCACCACACGTTAGCACACAAACGGGGGCATTTGGGCGGAAGACAGGGTACAATGCGACACAAGTAGGGATGTCGCGAACCACCCTAGGTTCGATTTCGAAAGGTTTCGATATTTGCGAAGCGAACTGAGGTTCGATTTCGAAAAATTTCGATATTTTCGTACCGACCGAGGTTCGATTTCGAAAAATTCGCAACTTTTGACCACAGCGGAGTTTCGAATTCGAAAATTTCGAAGCTTTCATGGTTTCCAAAATTTCGAATTCGAATATTTCGAATATTCTTTTACTTCAGGTTCGATAAATTCGAAGATCTCGAAATTCTTTGTAAAAAAAATTCGAAAACTTCGAACGCTTCGAATTTTTATAGACATGAAGTTCGAACAATTCGAAGATTTCGAATTTCTTTTTGCATAAAGTTCGAAAAGTTCGAAGGTTTCGATTCTCTTTTAACGCTAAATTAAAAAAAAAAAAAAAAAAAAAAAAAAAAAACTTTGAGGATTTTGAATTTCTTTTTAATCCAAGTTTTCAAAGTTCGAAGTCCGATTTTCAAGTTTTTCCACAGTTTCAGTTTCAAATAACGTTTTCACGACTCACTGGTTTTCACGAAATCAAGTTTAGAAAAGTTAGGGTGTGATATCTAGATTCTGCGAAGTGGGTCAGGCAATTAAATGAGACGACGAGTGTCCCGGACGTGCTAGAATATTTGCCAGTGCAGAATTGTGCCTGCCAGCCCCGGGGGGAGGGGGGGGGGGGTCTTTAACCTGCATCACGCAGTAGTGATTGCACGAACACACTGTTTTACGAGACTCATCCAGTTCGAAAGGCCAGGGGCGAGCAGGAGGTTGAGGCTCAGAAAAACCGTGAAGCGACCTGGCAAACTAGCTCGCCACTCCTTGCACGCTGGTAGTAATCCGATCCGGTGAAGTTTATAATTGTCCTGGAGGTTTATTTTCTGGGACGGAGGATTCGCCTCGCAAAAAGCACAAAAGCCGACACAACTCGAGGTCGAGGAGCGTTCTACCATACACTGGCGTCGGAAGAGGAAAAACGGGGGGAACGAGGGTAGCGGGGGGGGGGGGGGAGGGGGCTTTAGTTTCCTTTTCCCCCTTGCAGGTATTTCGAACTGTTAAAGAAAACAATACGGGGAAAGAGGGCGTGGTCGAGCTTATTTGAATCTGAAACTATCTATGCATATGTATAGCTACTGTCGCTCTTCACTGCATAAAGGGTTGCGTAGATGGTCATTGTTAGAAACTCGTTGTCAGAAGGCACTGCTCGTCACATGCTTAGTGGTTCGGAAGTTCAAAGCTGTCTTTTCGACCTAAACACCTGTGCCGATAGTAAAAAAAAAAAAAAAAAAAAAAAGAATAAATGCGGGAATACAAAGCAGGAAAAAAAAAACTATCAAGAATTCGTCGGAAGTGTTCTATTCTTGCATATTCAGAGGTTCAGAATTTCGAAACAAGTTTCTTTTACCAAAATGTGTACAGGCTAAAAGAAACACGTCCCAAGAACGTGAAGCGAAAAAAAAAAAGTTTTCTTTTAATGACGTGCTGAACTTGAACACTATTAGAAATCTTCTCCCATGAGTTAATTTATTCCTTAACGTGAAAAAACAATAAATATATTATTTCGTATTCTGCAGATGGCAATGATATGTACTGTCTGTGGTGTTAATTTAAATGCGATACCTCAAACAACTTAGACGAAAATAAATATCAAGTTTAGGTTATAATTGCAGGCAGATACATGTTTGGACATTTCTTCGAAACTCACGTTGAATAACACTTACCTAGGCTATACATAGACCATTCTTAAGAAAGTATAACATATCTACCATAAATAGCTCCGGCTGCAGCGTGCTTCAAATCTGGCACAAACGATAATCGTCAAAAACCCGTCGTCCTTCCTCGCCCCTTCGGGGATTTATTTCTTTAAACCTAAGCATGCCAGAACATTGAAATAAATGACATTGTCTTTCGTAAGGAACGCAGCACCGCGTGTAAAAGTTCGAGAAAAAAAAAATTACGAATGTACCCCACTACTTGAAATCAAATGAAACCGTCCGCCGGTCTTTCGAAGTTCGACGAACGTCGAACTTTTACCCTAAGAGTTCGAAGTTCGTCGAACTTCTGACTTTTCAGAATCCGAAAGTTCGAACCTTTTCGAATTCTCTTGATAAATAAGTTCGAAAGTTCGAAATTCATCGAATTTTTTGGTCAGTCAAGTTCGAAAGTTCGACAAGCATCGAACCTTGCAGCGCAATAAATTCGAAAGTTCGAAAAAGATCGAATTTTTTAGCGTAATAAGTTCGACGGTTCGAAAAGCGTCGAACTTCTTAGCTTAACAAGTTCGAAAATTCGACCTCCGTCGAATTTTACGATATAGACAATTCGAAAAATCGAAATCTTTCGAACCTTTCGAACCGCTTGATTCGATCATCGAAACTTCGATTCGAAAAAAGTTCGCGGCATCCCTAGACACAAGCACACAAGGTTCAGCGATTCGACCGTTCAGCGCCGTTCAATTTCAAACGTTTAAGCACACACATAAAAAAGAAGCTGTCAAAAGAAAAAGAGCGCCCACGGGTGATGGAAAACCCGATGAGCTCATGATCTAACGTCGGTTACATCAACGTTAATGTTGCATTGAGTCTATTTAGGCATTCGTTCAAAAATTGCCCTATAGAAATAAAATATATAAAATAATAATTTTTATTTGTTTGTCTTTTAGTGGAGACACTCAAGCGCACCACTTCATGCATCGAGACGGCAGCTTGCGCCACCTATTATGGCTAGAAAATACTAATGCACTGTGCAATATTTATGGTGTGGCGTAGGTAGAATCCAACTGCAGTGTACTAGAATGACTAGAATACTTGGTACACTGTAATCCAACGGTAGAATCTTTCATTAGGGATGTCACGAACCTGCCCAGCTTCGAGTTCGACCGTTCGACCCAGTTCGAATTTCGCGGACTTTCAACGTAGTGTTCGAAACCATGTTCGAAACAGGTTTGACTGAAAGTCGACTTTTTGCGCAAGCGCAAAATATATATATATAAAAAAAAAAGAACAGTTTACTTTATTTGGCGGAGGAAAATTGCAATATCTGTTGGGTGTATTCATTGGCCATCACTGGGTCACGTTACTAACTAACAAAAGGTTAAAAGAACATTTTTTCGCTTTTAAATGGTGTAAACATTGGTAACCAGTTTTTAAAATATGAAATAAACTAGTTTTTAAATTATTTGTTTCCCAAAATTCGATACATTTGTGTAGAAGGCGGGCAACACTGTCCGTAAGTCTAACTTCTTCGAATTTTAGTGAAAGGTAGAAGGTTCGGCGAACCAGTCGAACCTTGAGGTTCGACAAAAGTTCGCACACTCCCGCCCCCACTAGTGAAGCCACCGGAGAGCCATCTTGCTCATAGACAAATTGTGGTTTCGCTAGCGTTGCAGAGGCTGGCGGCAGCGTGCTGGAGACATGTTTTCTACTCATTCGTAGTCATTCGCCGAAGAAGTTTTTGAAGACATTGTGTAAGGGTTGAGACTTGCTGTTGAGTACACTTGGAAATCTTAATGGAAGCGCGGTGCCACAAGAAAAAGGCACAACTCGTCGGAAGCAAGTTTCGCCGGTCTCACAGCGTGATCAAAGCTGATCATGAACCAACTCGCCCGTTTCGCCACTTTAGTTGGTATGCTCTTTTGGCAACGTTGCTCTTGGAACCACACTGATCTCCATGACAATTGTTGGTTTGCGCATCCCCGCTCGTGCTTGCTTGGGCACCGCAGCTTGAGTGCGATCACCGGATGTCCATCTTGCATGCGGTCAAATTGCCTTTACGTTAGCACTGCAGAGGCTGGCACTGCAGAAGCACAGTGCCGCAGGAAAAAGACACAACTCGTTGAAAGGAAGTTTCGCCGGTCTTGCAGCATGATCAAAGTTTCCTTGGCACGCCAAAGTGCCGTGTCTCAGTGCCGTCACACACTTGGACACCGATCAAGAACCGTTCTCAAAACAAACTTTTGAGTTTTGACGATTATCTAAATGACTTTTCTCCATCTTAACCTTTCTCCTTAAAAAATTTCTCGAAACATACTTTTTGGTTTTGACCATTCTCAAAACTACCTTTCTCATTTTAACCATGTACATGATCAGGATAGGGAAAAGCAATAATTTCAGCATAAACTCACGGGAAACAAAAAAAAAAAGCAACCAATGACATTATGAAGTCCAGGCACCTGAAGCTTTATTGCGCCTTGAAATGGTTCCTGGAGAATGACATCTAGAGTGCACGCCAATCTACGGCATGACGGACGACACATTAGGCAATATTCATTGATTGTAGATCTGTATGACCACTCCGACACCAGCTGTAAATAATTCAATATCCTCCCAGGGCACGCCAAATGAGCGTAATTTGCATCCGACGATTCACAACTGAAATCAAGAAAAAAAGCTGTGCCTGAAAAGAAAGCCCTCAAGCCACAGATCTGCACCAGCACATTTCGGGAAAAAAACAACACCACAGCTCCCAATGCTTGCCTGCATCCCTATGCGTCATGGTGCGCACATTTCCCAGCATTGGAACAATGAACAGCCCCCAGCCTAGGCGTGCTCATCTCAGAGCATGCATATAATACTCGCATATTCGTGACGCGACCACCGAACCCAAATTAGTCCACCAGCAATATCTCGCTAACTTCTGCGGTACTTACAAGCAGGGTGTTGGAACGAAATGTTTTTCGTTCCGTTTTCATTTTCGTTCCATACAAAAAAGTTCCGTTCCGTTTCCGCTCCGGAACGAAAAAAATAATGCTCCGTAACGGTTCGTAACGGTTTCTTTCTATAAAAAAAAAAATCGCAACAAAAATTAAAAGGAACGTAACGTTTATTTTTACACAAAAATAGATAATTCAGGCGCTCCAGAGGAATCCGCGGAAACGACATTGCTTCTGAGATCATGTTCATTGCCTTGAGACTGAGATCATGATCAAGGCACCGAGCGTGATCTCAGAAGCAGCACGTCATCAAGTGTGCTCGGTGAAAGGCAGGACC